TACTAGTCCGATATCTAAAGAAATTCTATCAAAACTCTCTGATAAAACAACAAAATATCAATCAACTTTCTTTGAGATATTACTAGTCCAATATCTAAAGAAATTTTACTAAAACTCTCTGATAGAACAACAAAAATATCAATCAACTTTCTTCGAGATATTACTAGTTTAATATTTAAAGAAATTCTACCAAAACTCTCTAATAGAACAACAAAATATCAATCAACTTTCTTCGAGATTTTTATCTTGTTTGATATTTATCAAAACTCTCCGATAGAATAACAAAGCATCAATTAACTTTCTTCGAAATATTTACCTTGTCCGATATCTAAAGAAATCCCATAAAAACTCTCTAATAGATCAACAAAATATCAATCAACTTTCTTCGAGATATTTGCCTTGTCTGATATCTAAAAAAATCCCATAAAAACTTTCCGATAAATTAACAAAGTATCAATCAACTTTCTTCAAGATATTTGTCTTGTCCAATATCTAAAATAATCTCATCAAAACTCTCCGATAGACTAACCAAAATATCATTTAACTTTCTTCGAGATATTTACCTTGTCTGATATCTATATGAAATCTTCTTGCAGAAGTATTGGCAGATTTCTGCGAGATATATACAATTGCGATATCTTATTAAACTATCAGTATGTATTATAGGAATATCGGAAAGGAGATAGTTTGTCTGAAATTTTATTGTTCGACTAGTGCAACTTGGAGTAATTAAAATTTTCTAGTAAAATCTTAACCTATTTTTTAAATTTTTTATATTAATTACTAATTTTGATTTGCATTTTTTAAAATTTGCTAATATTATATAATATTTTTTCAATTTATATTTGTCACTATACTTTTATTATTAATTAAAGATTGTAGTTTTCTAATATCGCATAATTTAGGTTTTTTTTTTTTAATTATAAAACCTTATTTAGTCAAATATAATTTTTTTTTTATAAAATTCTTTAGTAAGGCTATTAACTTCTTTATTACTTCTCTATTTTATCACTTCTTTATCTGATTAGATATCATTACTTAATGTTATTTTATATATTTTTTTTTTTTTTTTGCGAATAAATAATAATCCAGAATTAAAGGCTCAAATATATAACAATAAATTTATGTAATTTTAATTTTAATATACAGTATATAAATTATATATATCAAAAAATTTTTACTCTAATCAATTCATCATTTATCACAAATTTAAAAATAAGATTATTAACCAAAATTTATAAATAATTCTAATTTTATGAATAAGTAATTAACCATTCTATCACTAACATAAAACTTTTGTGTTTAGGTATTTTTACTTAGATTGATGAATTGAAATCTTGACTAGTTCAAAAACTGACTCAAACAGTATTTTTATAACACTCCATGCTAGAGATAAGCAAAGTTAGTTACTTATTATTATTTAATATTACTTAATATTACCTCACAATAAGAATTATTAAATAATTTTACAAAAATTTTATTATTAGTAACAACTTTTTGTTCAATCTCAATTTTGATTACTTGTCTCTGACTTTTATCATGTGTTTTATAAATATATGTAATATATAATTAAATGTAATAATTATTTAATATTACTTAATATTAAGTAAGGAATAAGTAATAAGTCATTATTACTTACAAAATTACTTTGCACATCTCTACTCCATGCTGTTATCGCTTCAGAATTATATAAATTTCAAGTAAATTTGTTTAAAGAATTTTACTAACTATAACCAGCGGTGACCATCACCAGGGTACTTATATCTCAAAAATGTACTAAGTAAACAGGATCGGGTACTCTAAATAAAAATGTTTAGAACCCCTGAAAACCTCATAAAAACTAAAATTGGAACCTTATATTAGCTTTATATTATTTTATATATAAAAAAAAAATTCTTAATACCCTAACTCTAACCCTAAAAATAAATAAATGCGGTGATAATCACCGCCGGTAATTTTAAGTAAAAATCAGATTAAAATAATTCTAATACTAATTGTCACAGCTGATGCTGAAGTTTTGGGTCTCTAATCTCACTGCATTTGCGAAATAATTAATTCAAATATATTAAAATATATTTAAATAAACCCACTTCATAATTTTATTATTTAGAACTATAAAACCCATCTATACACTTTAATTAATTAATAAATGTTACAAATCATAATGAAATCGGATTAAAATGAAACTGGGGACCTTTCTTGCTCATCTTTAAGGCTTATAAAACCCACTTATACTCTTTTATTAATAAAACTAACTCTAAACCCTAACCCTAAAAAATATCCCCCAAAAAATTTTAAAAAAATAGAAAAATTTCATTTTAATTTGCCACAATAAACCCTCACCCTAAACTCTACTCAAACTATTATATGAAGACTAAAAAAATACACCCTAAAAAATTTTATTAATCAAAATTTCAGCATCAGCTGCGACACTAATTTTTACCAATCAATTAGTCTATCAAAATTATAAATTTAAATTTAAATTTACTCAAAGTTGAATGAATTTATTTAATATTCACCGGCGTCACTATCCTAAGAGTTTTAGAGTTAGGGTGCAGTTTTAGGATAAAATAGGAGTTTTATATAACAGTTTTCGTGAGGTTTTCGGAGTCCTGAACATTTTTACTTAGACTCCCTGACTTTATTCTCAAAGATATCAAATTATATGAAATTTTTGACAGAATAAGCCACAAATCTGAAAGAGAAATTACGATTTGTTTATTATCTATGGTTGCTTTTTTGAATAAGAGACCATATACATTTGAAAGTCGCAGGTTTTTTGATGGCTATGGATGACGCAAACAATAACCTTATATGAAAATACAATTTATAAAGGAGTACATATGTACCTAAGATTTAGATCCATTTTTTGGTTTCCCACGGTTACCATTTGGTTTTGTTTTTTTGGCCGTCGTATCTTTTTTATCTTCAAACTTATAGTAATTAAATATTGACTTTCAGATCATTTGTTAAATAATTGCCTTAAATAGATATCAATTCAGTGACGAACCTTACGCTTCGCAGGGACATTTGCGTTAGATGGAACTTGCGTAAAAAAACTATCCAATCTCCCTTGGGTTGCAGCCTTTAAATTTTTTGATAGTTTTTCCACGCCTTTCCGCACACGATCCTCACTTAAATATGGATTCAATTTAACTTATAATAATATTTAATTCTCTATCTTGCAAAATACCATAAACTTACTTGAAGCCTTTTTCACGAACTAAAAATCCAACAATACCATCAACATCCGGATCTTTCCATTTTATCTAGCAATGCAAAAAAATAGGGTTATATGGAGCAAGAGGTCCTGCAAAATGGGTAAGCAATGAGTAAATAAATAAACAAATAACTACCTCAATATCATTAGGATCTAAAACTTCCGGGTTGCGAAACAGTTCACGTGCTTCGTCGTACTGCCAGTCTTCTGGTATTGGATACTTTTTGGTATCGAGGTTGTTAATAATTCCTTCTAAAGTTTTATGCTTTTTAATAAGCTCTACTGCACGATGTGGCCCAATGCCTTTGATAGAATCACAATAATCACAACCCAAAAGAATACAAAGATCGATAAACTGGAAAGCAATGAATTGACAACAATACCAAAATTAATTTGATTCAATAACTAGAACGAGTCAAAGTAGTGTACACTTGAATAATTATATACCTGATCCATGCTAAACTGAAGTCCTTCTAAAACTTTGTTGAGATGTATTTCATTAATTGGAACTTTTTTCGCCTCACTATAAGTCATGTGTCGCAATAAGACTGGCGTAGAAAAGGTCAGAGTATCCATATCTTCTGATGCAGCGGCATATACCTAAAAAAAGTGGTGATATTAAAGTTACATTAAGTTATTGAAGTAGAAAAACTTTGAGTACCATCATATATGATATTTACCTTTCCTGCTTTAGCTAAAGCCGCACATTGAGCCTCAGCTTCACATGGAGCCTTCAAAATTAATCATATTAATTGATTGATACAAAATGAAGCGTAATAACTTATATCAAATTACCTCCACGTAAGGAATACCCATTAGATTTAGAAGCTTTTTACATTCATCGTTATGTTCTTTAGTAACTTTGACAGTTTGTCGACTGTATTTATCAACGTTAGACATATCGCCTAAACATAATAAAGAATAAATAACATTACAAAGAAGAAATTGTGTAGTTTTAAGCTAAAAAAAAATTAGACAAAGATGATAAACCAGCTTCTTGTGCCTCTTCAAGTTTTTTATTCGCTTCTTTTTTTCGCTCCGAACGTTTAGCAAGCTGTGTTTGATACAGAGAGCGTAACATTAAAATAAGCACATACAAGAGAAATAGTGTTATTTTGTCACTTACTTCACCGGATTTTAGGGTAGGCGGTTTACCGTCAAAGACATAACATGGTTTTATTCCACTTTCTACCATGCGAATGGTTCGATAAAATATGCCCATTAAATGACTAAAGGTTGCAGCAGAAAACGATTCAAATGCAAACTCGAATGTTATTATATTCATTTATAGATTTTCAATGAGTATTATTTATACCTCGTCGTCTCCCCTGAATCGCTTGTTAACATTTGCCCGTCTTGTCTTACAGCGATCAAAAATTGATATATAGACATAGAAGCATCGATTGCTACTTTACGTCCAAAATAATTTTTGATCTCATTTGATTTGATGGCGTTTGGACAGTGATCACCAATTACTTTAGTTAAACTTTGAATACCCATGATTTAGACCTTTACAGTATGAATAGTAAGCAGTAAAAGAATAAAATAACAATTGCCAAAGACGCGTGTTTAATGTTGCACGAATTAGATTGTGGATATTCCGCGGAAATTCGTACGCGTGACTATAGAATATTGTTATTGCAAATTTTTGATAAAGTATGATCGGAAGATTTAGGAATTGTGGTGCATGTCTGTCGGGAGGTTTCGGAATTGAAATAAAATTTTTCACTTGTCCCAGTTACACAACAGTGCTTTTCTGATGAAAAATAGTATCAAAGTTATGTCACGCAAAACTGTGACAATTTCGCAACTTTTGTCCCTCTCACGTTGTGATCCGGAGACTGTCTTAATTGGACGCCTAGAGGTTGTTGAAGCAGAGGATACTTTGTTTCCGCGGGGAGCCATTGTATTTTATGACGCGACCGGAGAATTGGAATGCCATGTATTAGATTTTCAATTACATTGGTTATCTGGTGAAATAGTCTTGAAAAAATGGAATCTTGTGTTAAATAAATTAGCGAATGGGCGAACAATATCCAATTATATAGAGGTTTCTGAGGTTGAATTGCGTTCGAACTCTTCAGCAATTTTAAATAAAGAAAAGTCGAGTGATACGTCTATTGAGAAAATAATCGACATACTTCAACTAAAGACACCTGCGTCTGTCGAGCCATTAAAAAACGCACACATAGTTGCCAGAGTAGCTGTTAAAAGCGTGTTGCAAAATAACAAAGGCTTGCATGCCAGTTTCGTATTAACGCTCAATGACATTTCCGACTCTAATTTTCAAGTCTATGTCATTTTTTCCGGAAATGATCTGATTAAGTATTATATGTCAATAAACATTGGAAAAATTTACATATTGACCCATCTGTTAAGAAGAGATGATTTTTTAAGATCCATAGAAACTCCTGTATTTCAATTTAATTCAACACTATCTACAGTTTCTCATTGTATTGATGATGACAGTAAAATTTCCTCGTTGATTGTGTCGAATATTTCTTCTCTGAAATTACAATCACGTCTAAACACGCAAAAATTGCGAGTGATGGAGCAGTCAATGCGTTCTGCTGAATTATCTATTCCACTTCTCACATATCAGGGTACAATTACATGTATATTGGACAAGATATTAGGCGTATTTGTATTAGACTCTAGATGCATTGTGCATTTGGGACTCTATTCTACTCACTATTCATCGTTGTTTCCATTTCGCGTAGGAATGAATCTAATACTTCATAATGTACATACGATTCCTTTAAAGTTAGAACGTGACATATGGAAGCTTTCTTCTAGTGAACATTGTCCAAGTTTTAATAGTGTTAAAACAATTTTTGCAGCATGTCATTGTAGCACAATTCAAATAGAGAAATTTCCTACTGAACAGCACATTTTGGAAAAAGTGCTATCAAGACCAAAAAGCAAATTTTCGCTACTTTACAATAGTGAGTTATTCACTTTACTAGAGTTATTATGGATTCAATCGGTTTATTATGACATATTGGAAAAATTCCCTGGCGGATTTGGTGATGAGACTTTATTAGGGGATTCACGAACAAAAACTTCCGCTGTCAACGATACGAATGGATCTTTGTTATCAAAATTATTACAAAGACATTGTTTAGTGGACCGTCGTAGGGACTTATTGACTGAATTTTTTGACCATAAATTTTCTTGTCACACGTGTAAAACAAGCCATGCCACTGAAATAAAGTTTCCCATATTATCGAAAATTATGAGAATGATCGACGAAATTGCGTTTTCTCCATCTTTATTTGACGGAAACGAAAACGAATATACGTACAAAGTTATTTCGCAGCGAGAAGCTGGAATGGAAAATTTTCATTTAATGGGCATACTTCAAGGAAGTTTGGATGGCACGCTTCAAATTAAGGACCATACATGCAAGATCTCGGTTGTTAATATTGCAATTTCGCAAAAGATACACACCTTTCATTTAAATAACATTTGGATCATCCCCAAGTATGATATTGTGATAGAACGACCCGGAAAAACTTATATTCAATTCGCTATCGACAAATGCTATTGCTTTTATGCAAAGCCATCAAACTTTTCTAATAACCTACATCGATGTATTTTTCACATTTGTCACGTTCATACTACAAAAATTAATGGTCCATCGGAAGAAGAAATTCCAAAAATGAATGTGAAAATAGAACTTAAGATCTTATTTGAAGTTGATAATAATGTGGAGAAATATATTTCTTTCTTATCAACTAAGCAGCATGTCAACATTGAACATACTTATGTCCATCTTTCAGATGATTTTGTGCGATTATTGCCAGCAATACACGTTGGATCACTTTATGAATTCGCTTATGATGAGTCTATTCAGAAACAAATGAGAGAAACCAATGCCAAAGAATTGTTTTTGAATAGTAAAGTTAATGCACAAATAAGAAGCATTAGAATAGATAATATAACGACTAATGATTCGGAAACTATAACTTGCAAAGATTTATTTAATCACATAATAGGTCCGGCAGTTGTACAAGTTGACGAAGCCGCCAGAAATATGTACAAAACTCTGGAGGCGAGATTTTTGGACGAGAATAAAATCTTAAATATTAGTGACATTTTATATGGAAATTCTACGGAATCAACGAATGATAATAATAGATATTGTGATTCAATTGTGTCATTTCGGGGAATTTTAATATCTAAAGAATATCGAATAGCAACAACACTTCCCAAGTTTCTTGATAAATTCATATTAGGTAATTACCAAAATGAAGAATTATACCTACACAATAAGACCATTTTACTACGTATACGGGATATAATCACAATGGATGTTATTGATGTATACGTTGGATTTACGTCAAGATATACTTTGCCTCTTGGAATTATTCCTGGCCGGCACCTTGTTTTAAAGCTGGTAGCTGTTAAAACATCTGTACTAGGTACTATATACTGTTATTCTTTACCTATTTCTCATGTAGCACTTGATGGATTACCCATAGAAGATAGTACATTGTTTCAACAACTGAAGAGTACATATCTAATTGATTTTCCACAAGACAAAAGTCAGCTTTACACAATTTACCTGGTTCGTTGCACAATAATTAAACTTTTAGGCGTGAAAGTGTATTGGATATGTGAAATATGCGATCAAATCTTGGTCAACAATAGTTGTTCAAATCATTGTAGTCTTGCAAAACATAAGCTTCACACAGAGGGAAAATTCGAAGTAAGAGATGGCACTTCAGCAGCGAGGGTGTTTGCGAAAGATGAATTAGTTCTTCGTGCACTTATGTCTCTTAATGATGATTCACATCAAAAGATATGTTTGGATGCCGCACGAAAAAAAATTGAATATAGTTGGAAACAATCTGAAAATATCAATCGAAATTGGTCAAAGGAATATACAAATTCTATAATCGGTAGAGATATCAATCTTTTTTGTCAACCGTTGTTCCAAAAAATAAGTGGCACGAAAAACATAATCAAATTGAAAGCCATTCGTATTGAGAACATTTCTCCAACAATCGAAGCATATAAAAGGATTCAACATTTAAAACAAGTAAAATAAACCTTATAATTATATTTTCACACTATATATTATACAGAGGTCAAACAAGATTTAAAATATTATAAAAAAATGATTGTAATAAATTTATTTTATATATCATTTTTTCTTTTTCTTTTTTTTTTTTAACAATTCGGCAATCTTGTCAATACTTTATTAGGGTACAATATTTAACTCATGGGGAAAATATGATTTTTAGCTCAAGTTATCTAAAGCCCACCTAAATTACAAGTATTAGCTAACTTAGCTCTTTGCAACACTGAAATGTTCAAATTACCCATGTTTGATTTGCTATAATAAAGTTTATCTTTATACAAAAAAATCCTGCAACTGAATAATTTGATATATTACTAAATGGTATTTATGGTCTATTAAGATCATCTTTTTTTCTAACCTTCTAGCTTTCTGAGCAGAAGGATTCATAGTTTTTAACTAACTTAGAAAAAAAAAAAATCAACATTAATAAAAAATAAGGGAATAAAATGAAAGGGGGAAGAAAAAAACTGCCTAAACAACAAGAAAACAAATATAAAAACAAATAAAAGAAGAAAAAAAAAGCAGAAAAAAAATTTTATAAAAGTATTATTATAGTATGTGCCAGGCATAGTTGTAAAAATTATATATTAAATTTAAAATTATATATATCTTTATTATAAAGCTAAGCTTTATTCTTAAATTTTCTTTTGACTATACCATCTGATCTGGGTTGGTTCATTAATCAGATTGCTGATTGGTTCATCATGTGATGTAAAAACATTATTGCCAAAACAATTCTGTGTTTATGTTCTACTTTGTTTGTCCTGAAAATGAAAAGTATAAACAATATTGATCTTTTAGAGAGGGTAAGCTAAAATGCTTACTTTTTGTCGAAATTTTTGTAAAAGTAGCAAAAGGTAAAGTCAAGAGAATAGAAATTACTTGAATACAAAATAAAAGAGTGTAAATTTCTTTTACTAGAATCAACTATAGTCCACACCAAAACATGTACAATACTAGGGTATATAACAGGTCAGGCCTAACCCAAAATTTTGTGGGTCGGGTCAGGTTTGAGTCCTGGTTGGGCCCAAATTTTAGGCCTGCTATAAATCGGGTCGAGCTCGAGTTGGGCCTAATAAAGTATTAGGTTGGGTTTGGGCCTTGTTATTTGACCCGCAAAAACCTGTTAAACTTCTAATATAATACATTGATGTTTTGAGAGTTAAATATTGACTTCATGCAACTAGTTTCAAAATTTAGTTTATTAAAAATTCTTTCACAAATACAACTTTTAGAGTATACATTTATTATTTTAAACTATGCACTTTTAACATTTTTGATTGGCCATATCCAGAAAACGTGAACTAAATATGGAAAAAATTTAAAAATAAGATAATCATATAGTAGCTGATTGTCTTTTCTTATACTTAGTTCACATTTTTCTGATACGACATATCAAGATGTTAAAGTGCGTGAACTTAAGATTTTATAGACACTGACCGACATGATGATTTTATAAGCAATCAATTCACAAATAGTTCACTTTATAGAAAGTTTATTTTATTGACAAGCTTATTTCATAGACAATTTTTCACCAATAGCTTATTTCATAGATAAAGTAACTCTAGTAATTGTCACTAGTGTTAGTTTAGAACTAGGATTAAGTTTAGTATAAATTATAAGAAAAAACTTTCTGTGAAATAAGCTATCGGTAAAAAAACTGTCTATGAAATGAACTTGTCGGTATAATATCTGTGAATTTATTGGTTATAAAATAAACATGCCGGTGAAGTAGTATTTACAAAAAAATGGATCCATATTATTTCACTGACAATCATTTTGATAACAAGTTGATTTATTGACAATTATTTTACCAACATTTAGCTTACCAATATAATTAGTTTGCCGACAGCTCATTTCACTGACAAATTCCTTTTATAAGTCACACTAACCTTCAATTCTAAGCCTGACTATAATGAAAATGACTAGAATAGTTTGCTAGTGAAATGATTGTTAGTGAAATAAAACGTCAGTGAAATAAACTTGTCAGTGATTTAATTGTCAGTAAAATAAACTTGTTGGTGAATTGATTGTTGGAACAAGATGTTGGGGAAGTGATTCTGGTGAAATAAGTACTTTCGATATTGTCATAATAAAATAGTAAAGCATACAATTAATAGATTACAGGTTATATTTATGGTATTAGAATAGTAATTGAATCAGTAGTTACCAGAAAGTCAATTAACATACCTAATTATTCTCAATTATCTGCACGAAAATATCAGTAACATTTCGATGTTTTTATAATTAATAACATAATGTATCATCAATACGTTAAAATTGAGATATTGTAAAGCAAGAGATTAGAGTTTTATCTTAACTGTTGACATTTACAGTCTTTTGTATAATAATATCATAACTCAGCTATCATCAATTTATGACTTTTAAAAATCAACTTTTATGCATTATGTGTCTTTGACACTATTAACTAGAATATAAATAATACATTAGTATTTTGTACCAGAATTTTTATAGCAACACATGATAAGATAGCACGATAATTCAAATACAGATCAACTCAACTTAAGCTACAACAATGCGTTGATTGTACTGGACTAATAAATGTTTTCCAGAAGTTAAAAATATGGCCAAATCACTTAATTTTATAAATATATAGAGAAACCTTCTAAACACAACCTACTAAATGTACTCTCAAATTCTGAGCTGAATATATATTTGATTTTTTTAAATGCACTTTTTCTTATTGTTATCTAAATGCACATTTATAAAGGTTGGCTTTATAGAAATATTTCTCTGTATTAATCTATTAATAAATAATAAATTACTGAGACAAAGCAAGTTTAGTAATAAGATCCGGGTTTAATATTTAAAGAATAGTATTGAGTAGATCAGTTTGTAAAATATGTGAGGTTCTATTGAATTACTAACGCTAATGAATGATTAGTCTAAATTCAGTAGATCGAGGTTCAGAATAGGCCAGAACAGATAATTTTTTCTAAATTTACTCAAACTTTCACCAATAAACCTATATATTAAGTAAAATTATTAGCTATTAATTTTGCTGTAGTATTATTATATTAGTATTATGTTTAATACCGGCCTAGCTCTGGCATATTCTGGTCCTAAATTTTTGAGCGACTAATCTATTCTAAGATAATTAGATCAGGTCAGGTTTTGAATTAATCCGATCTGACCTAGACCCAACCCATTATAAAATTTTTTATCAGGCTTGGGCCTGGGTCGGGCTTAAATAAACCTGACCTGGCCTGGTCCGTTACATACTCTACACAATACTAAGTTTTTTCAGTAAATAATAAACTTTAAACTTGTTGGCAAATAGCATATGAGAAATATCTCTAAATGACAGAAGCTGTGCCTATAGTAACAATAAGTGATAAACTTTGAAAATATTAGCAGATAGCATATGAGAACTATCTTTAAATAATAGTTGCTATTCTAAGTTCCTTCTTCTCATATTTTATAATCTAATATAGCCATTTGTATTTTTTTCTAGTAAAAAGTTTTTTAAAAATTTTTAATAAAAGTGATTATTGGAAAGAGTTCCATATATATCATTTTTTCTAAATCGAAACAAAAATATAAATATAGATAAAGGAGGTATAGCGACTTAGTGAAGTGGTTTACTTTACTGGATCTTTAATTTTTTAAAAATATTTTTACAATAAAGTTAACATAAATATAATTAATATATTATTAATATATTAGAGGTGTGGCGA